CGCGATGGACAAAATTATAGGTTATAATATTACAGTCTTTTAAATACTAAAGACAAAACGGAAGCTGTGTCATTTTCCTTGTCTTAACTTTGTGTCTTTATCGGTTTCAAATCGCTTTGAGAAATAGATCGTAGCAAATGAACTCCACTTATCCCAGTGACAAAAAGCACCTGCTATGCAATTAAAGCACTGTTATAAATGCCTGTTGCAATTGACTGCCGTACAGTTGACTCATTTGAGCCAGGCGGATCACGTCGCATTTATATTTTCCCTGCAAAATGTTAATTTTAATCGTATCGTGTGCGGTAAATTTCACAACGGTCAATTCACAACCAGCGAAAGATGAAAAACCATGTACATTGAGAAATTTCAAGAGGATTAACTCTTAATTTTAGGCTAATTAACCACTACCCGAATGAGCAACTCTCGCCCCAAATGGGTTTTGGGACCGACTGAACTAGTTCATAGAGAGTTTTTCGAACCGACTTTAAGACTAATTTATTAAAGAGCTTGCGGGGGGGGGGGTTGCCAAACCCCTTAAACCGCGCACTCCCCTGTCTCAATAATCCTTAGAACAAATCAAACGAACGGCGAACGAACGAGATTTTTCAACTAACGAAAAAGCGTTAACTTATGTTTTCCCGTTTAAAGTCACCAATATAGCAAACATATTATTATGTGTTTGAAACACCGCATATAACTTGGCCATTTTCAATTATTACCTTATTAAGGCCCGTTTCAAACGTTTTTATGTGCCGAATGGAATGCAAATATTTAATGAAAGACTTTAGCTCATTAACATTAGCTTCGGCACATGAAATGTTCGACGTTTGAAAACGTCTTATAATGTATAAAACTACGATATTGCACGTATTGCTAAAAAATATCCAGTAATAATTGCAGCGATAAAAGCAAATGCATGCATGTTGTGTAATTGAATGGCTGTATAAAATCATATAGATGCTCGGTGTATTTGACGTTTGCCGCTTACATTGAGTTGACTCATTGGAGCATACAGTAGACGAAACACTTTAGCTCGTTAACATAAGGTTCGATCGGCACATAAAAAGTTCGACGATTATTGAAAGAAAACTATATACAGTATTAGCTTTTCGACTTCTAGGTCACGTCTTATATGCATAGTGTATGCCACGAATTTGCCGACGGTCAAAAATTAACGACCTCTTGTGTAAACAATTCTAATTCGATTTTCGATTTTTATCATGCGTTTCTTCCCGGCGGACAAAATTATAGGTTATAATATTACAGTCTTTTAAATACTCAAGACAAAATAAAAGCTGTGTCATTTTTCTTGTCTTAACTTTGTCGGTTTCAGATCGCGTTTGAGAAAAAGTTCATAGCCGGCAAATAAACTCCAGTTATTGCAGTTACAAAAAGCACCTGCTATGTAATTAAAGCACTGTTATATAAATGCCTGGTGCAATTGACTGCCGTACAGTTGACTCATTTGAGCCAGGCGGATCACGTCGCATTTATATTTTTCCTGCAAAATGTTAATTTTATTCGTATCGTGTGCGGTAATTTTGACAACGGTTAGTTCACAACACGCGATAGATGAAAAACCATGTACATTGAGAAATTTCAAGAGGATCAGTGAAGGTAGGCTCTTTAACATTCTTCGTTCGTTTTTTCTAAGTTGATTCGCGACTCGCGACCTTTTCAGTGGAATATTAAATTTTAGACTACACATCTTCCCTAATCAAGCTTCTTCCTCGTAAAGGTGGTCCTAAATACATCCAGGCTTTAATTGATGGATATTTTTATAATTATTGATAAATTTAAATACAGAGTTGCATCCACATCGAGAAAATATCTGGGGTATCTTATGCTCTCTGAGTCACTTTTGTAGTGTTTGTATTTGAAATAAAATATAGTATTATAAGACATATATTATCACGAAGCGTGATGATTTTAGTGCGGGTACGAATATCGACCCAGCGAGTGGAAAAAGCTTACATACATACAATGGCGAAAAACTCAATCCTTCGTAAACGTAATTTTAGCCGCACTTATTTCTAGGGAGAGGTCTATTACGGCATAAATTGTTCGAATCTGAATGCTCGTGTTTTGATGGCAAGGTCCTTTTGTTTACATTCACGTACATAGATTATGCTGAGAATTCGGGCTCTGGGCTCACGACACGCCACCTCGGCTATAATGCGGAGCAAGAAAATTTTTGAAATTGAATTGCTCTAGCTCCTCGAAAATGAGCACTTGAGGGTCTTATCATCTGAACTGTTTTCTTGAAAATTTTAATTACAGCGGATATATGCGTTACTACCAACCATATGCAATTGAGGTTATAGTATATTAATTGATTTTAGCAACAATTTTCATAGTGCATTATTCAAGACTAAACAAAATAATACTGAATATAAATCGCATTAACCGGATGAGCACCTCTCGTCCCATATGGGTTTTGGGACCGATTGAACTAGCCCATAGAGAGTTTTTCGAACCAATTTAAGACTAATTTATTAAAGAGCTTGGGGGGGGGTGCCACACCCCTAAAGCACGCACTCCCCTGTCTCAATAATCCTTAGAACAAATCAAACGAACGGCAAACGAACGAGATTTTTCAACTAACGAAATAGCGTTAACTTATGTCTCCCGTTCAAAGTTACAAATATAGCAAACATATTATTATGTGTATGAAACACCGCAGCTGTCATATGCATTTAATTTGGTCATTGTCAATTATTACCTTATTACGGCCCGTTTCAGACGTTGAAATTTTTATGAGCCGAATCGAATGTAAACATTTAATGAAATACTTTAGCTCATTAACATTAGCTTCGGCACATGAAAATTTCGACCGCTGAAAGACGTCTTATCATATATAAAACTACGATATTGCACGTGTTGCTAAAAAATATCCTAAAATTGAAAGTAAACAATATACACAATTAGGTTTTTTTCTACTTCAGGTTATATACGCGTTATATATGCATGGTTGCATGTACGCGATGAATTTGCCGACAGCCAAAAATTAACATAGCAACCTCTTGTGTAAACACTAATAATTCTGTTTTCCATTTTTAATGTTTTTTATCATGCATTTCTTGGCGATTGACAAAATAATAGGTTAATACTTTACAGTCTTTATACATATTCAACACAACCTTTTATCCTTGTCCTTGTTTTAGGTTTGTAGGTTGCAGATTGCGCTTAAGAAAAATATCATCACAAATTAACTAATTTAACTTCAGTAATGATTGCAACGATGAAAGCAAATGCATGCATGTTGTGTAATTGAATGACTGTATAAAATCATAAAGATGCTTGGTGTATTTGACGTTTGCCGTACATAGAGTGTGATTCATTGGAGCATACAGCAGACGAAGCACTTTAGCTCATTAACATAAGGTTCGATCGGCGCATAAAAGTTCGACGTTTGAAACAGCTCAATGTACAATATTCCGGAAACAAATTCCATTATTGAAAGAAAACTATATATACGTGTTATATTTCGTGTAAACTATATATACGTGTTATATATACGTGTTCACGTGTTATATGCATGGTTGTATGCTATATATGAATTTGCCGACGGTCAAAAATTAACGACCTCTTGTGTAAACAATTCTAATTTTATTTTTCATTTTTTATCAGGAGTTTCTTCGCGATGGACAAAATTATCCGTTGTAATATTATACAGTCTTTTAAATACTCAAGACAAAATGGAAGCTGTGTCATTTTCCTTGTCTTAACTTTGTCGGTTTCAGATCGCGTTTAAGAAAAAGATCATAGCCGGCAAATAAACTCCAGTTATTGCAGTGACAAAAAGCACCTGCTATGCAATTAGAGGCTGTTTTCCACTTACGCGTTTTTCATACGCACGTACACGCACGTTAAAGTCTAAATCCTTATACATGTTACCTTTGAAAAAACTAAGTGAATAGATCGAAGTAACTTAGTTTTCTGCATATTTTAGTATGCATTAGTTGACCTAGATGTTAAATAATAAAAATTTGAAAGCATTTAAAATTTTCCGTACGTGTACGTGCGTATAAAAAACGCGTAAGTGGAAAGTAACCTTAAAGCACTGTTATAGATGCCTGGTGCAATTGACTGCCCTACAATTGACTGCCCTAAAGTTGACTCATTTGAGCCAGGCGGATCCCGTTGCGTTTATATTTTTCCTGACAAAATGTTAATTTTAATCGTATACTACGTACCAACCATGCATGCATATTATTTTAAATGAAAACACTGTCTAAAGGTCGCATGTCCACGTGCGCCGTACGTGATTAAAATTGTTATTTCCCATGAAATAACGCGGAATATTATATCTCAACTGTAAATCATCCAATCAGAAAGCTCGATTTGTACCACGTGATCAGTAAATTAATCATGGAGTTCCATCGAATTTTTTCACATTATGCTATAAAAGTCGAATACCCCGCTGCAGTGGGGTATTCGACTTCGAATACCCCGCTGCAGCGGGGTATTCGAGTTTGCGTGTACCACGCGTGGATGCCTCGCACACGACTCGAGGTTGTCAACAATTTCAAAATGGAGGCAAAAGAAGCCATTTCACCCACACGTTGTTTCGATATAATATATAATTTATAGACCTTCCGCTCGGGGAATTCGACGAAATATTACCCCCTCGGGAAGATATATCCCTCGGGCGAAGCCCTCGGGATATATCTTCCCTTGGGGGTAATATTTCGTCGAATTCCCCGAGCGGAAGGTCTATAAATGATAAATATCTCAACATCAGAATCGGGCGGGCAACATGAAAATTTCGTCACTCGCACGCGTGATTCGCTCTCCACCAATAAAACGCTATGAATACCAAATTTTGGCAACTGGTATAATTTATAATAAGAGTAACTTTAATGATTTATATGTTTTCTTGCAGGAAACCAAGCACTGCGTCCATCCGATCTTATCTCAAATCATACCATCCATCTTTTGGGAGAGTGCCACATTCACTGTATTAGTCAAGACAATTGCTATGGTTACAACTACAGAGTGAGACCAAGCAACCTTTATACAGCAAACTGTCAGTTGAGCAATAGCACTGTAAAAATGAACAAAACAAAAATGAAGAATGGGCCATGGGTTTTTTACGAAGACGTTTTGGTAAGAACCGAATTACACAATTGCATCGTTTCATAGTACAAAATAAAGCACAAAGAGTCTCACTCATCCCGCACCCAAACTATAACTCATTTCACATTGCCCTGCAACAAAGGTTGAAGCAATATTTGATTTACTATGATCTTTTTCTTTCCGATATAGGTCACAGAAGGTAAAAAAAAATAAATATACGCATCATGGATTTGCTTTTGAAAGTAATCCTAGTTGTTAAATAGTCCCTTTTTGAGCTTTTTTCTTATTCATCGCTTATCTCATTGTTCATCAGATATGAGTTTTTTATATTTTTATGTAACTACATTCCAAGTAGATTTCCAAGCAAAAATTTCGTTTTTTGCCACTGAAAATATTTCTGTGCTACGGAATCATATTGGCAAAATGAACAATAGAAATAGCTACTGCTTCCAAAAAGTTTTAACACAGGTCTCAATACAAAGTAAAATCCTATGGCCCATTTTTTAAAAAATAAAATGCTTATCAATCAACATAAAGTTCAACGTTTGATTTCACCACCCTAAGACACTTTATGATCGGAGGTGATCGATTTTCATCGACATTAATTTTCTGTTACAAACAATACGAATAGGTGCATATAACAAATATTATTTCAGATGTTGATGAGTGTGCAAAAGGAACACACCAATGTAGTCAAAAAGCAAATTGCAGCAACACACCAGGTTCATATAACTGCCAGTGTCAAATTGGTTACGAAGAAAATGGAAAGAAATGCAATGGTAAAATTATTTTAAATTCTGCATTGCTGACACATCTCCACACGCGTTAAAATTGTCTAGGTTCCTATAAATTGTGATGGTTGTAGATATGACATATTTTACCCGAGGGGGAAGCTAAAAATATTTAACCAAGAAGGAGGTCGAAAACATTTTCTGACCCCTGTTTCGGGGTAGTTATATCCGGTTCAATTTTCCTGGACAAAATTGTCCGTAGTTGTTGACAGCACAAAACAGGCATCATGATAACTATGATATCATGTTGTTCTGAACCGTTGCAAGAGACCACTGTCAAGCCCTGTTGTAGTCATTGCATGGGCTGGGAATTGTGGTGCTGGGCTTCACAGCGCGCAAACAACATGATGATTTTCCCAAGGCTGCATATACTGACCACTCCCCTTCGCCGCGCGTATTCATATCGCCTCTAGTTTTTGCCGCCTCCGACAACTTATATAAGTCACACTGTTTTATTTCCTCTACGCATACCTAATTACCTTTGTCGGATTAACAAAATGCGCCCCCAACTATAATAAGCCTCCAGGGGTGGGCCGCCCCCTCCCTCTCCCTTGGTACGCCACTGTAAAGGATCAAAGCTATTGCTGATTAGCACGTTGTACTTTGGAGTGGCCGTTGTCCTTGTGTTTTAAAACCGATAATTTTTGCCAGGTCTGTTGATGCATCTCATTAAATTAGTTATAACTCCACTTTGATTTCCCCAAAAAAGAAGCCTGATATCGATATCAATGAACTTTGCAGACATCGATGAATGTGCAGATAGTCCATGTGGCCAAAATGCAAACTGTACAAACACGAATGGTTCATACATTTGTGAATGTCGAACTGGATATGAAGGAAATGGAACAAATTGCACAGGTATAAGATCAGGAGTTTATTGTTGACAGACTTTATAGCATTTTGCACCTAAATTACGTTTGGCGGATTAACAAAATGCGCCCCCAACTAATAATAGGATTATTCTCATGCAGGACTAATAATTCTCTTTCTACTTCTCTTTCTCCAAAAATGTCCAGTAATAATCAGAATATCTTTGCTTGAGATTTATCAAGAATAAAAATATATTTGTAAGGAATGTGTATTTTAGATATTGACGAATGTCAAAAAGGAACACACAAATGCAACCAAAGTGAAATTTGCTCAAACACACCAGGTTCATACAACTGTGAAAACAGAAACCTGAAGGACTCAGGTAAATAATTTTTTGTCATTAATTATAGTATTAGTATATATAGTATAATTACTAAGATAATTATTAAAAATTTACATTTATAATTACACTAAAACAGTTTTCAGCGATATTCACCTCACTTTCAGCGAATACTTTTGTTAAATAATAGTTTGACATGGCATTGCATGTCTAGTTCTAATCGCGTACCCTCCAAACACTAAAAGTCTAAAATGAATAAAATCAACTAAAAGTTAATGGATATCGATTCTCAGGAGTCAAATAAGAAATAGGATTTGTACATTGATATAAAATGCGATAGTAACGTTAGTAACAATACGCCATCATTATAGTGTATTGGATATGTGTTACATGTAACACGTTCCAGAGTAAAGTGTGATATTCTGTTTAGTGCATTTCTTAACAAAATGCCACATTAAAGCCAAATACAGCAAGAAAAAAAACATTTTGTTGTTGAATTTGGGCAGAACGTGTAAAATTTACAAAACAAGAATGTTTGCATTGCTAACTTGGGACGTTTTATCAATTTTTCTCTAAGTTCTAAATATTGAAGGTTTTGCTATTTTTTTTAATTTCCACAAAAAAATACAATGCTAGCTGTTAGTGGTCAATTTGATGTAAAATCACCCCAAATTGCATAAACTGTACCAATTGTCTATTGATAAATTATAAAAAATCTCATCATTTAGCAGGCCATATAATAATACATGATAAAAACAGTTAATGAAACACATTTTATTTAAATACGTGGCAGATACATTAATCATCTTGCTATTTTGAGGTATTTTGCTACTAAAATGAAGATTGATTCAGCACAGTGTGGTATTTCGCAAATTTGCCACAATTATAATGGAAAATTGATTTACAGCATGTCCAATATCACAAAGCAAACCTTTTCTGGTTTCGAGATCTCGAAAGCCTTGCCTGGTTTCGAGATCTCGAAGCCTTTGCCTGGTTTGAGATCTCGAAGCCTTGTCTGGTTTTGAGATCTCGAAGCCTTTGCCTGGTTTCGAGATCTCGAAGCCTTTTGGTTTCGAGATCTCGAAGCCTTTGCCTGGTTTCGAGATCTCGAAGCCTTGCCTGATTTAGAGAAAATATACAATATAATATAATAATACAATATAATAATTACAATATACAATATTAACTGTTAGGAAATTGTTCAATTAATCATATAATTAATTAATTAAATAAATTACATTAATAAAATACATTCTTGAGCTTAACATAGAAGCTGGTACAGCAATGAACAGCAACTCTACCATACACTTTCAAAAAACATATTAAGATCACTACTGTCAGGTACATACTGTATTTGCTAGGTTTACCTGATTTATTTAGCCCTCTGCTGGATTAATCTCACTTTAATAGCAGACCTGTCAAGAACTAGGCATTTTACACAAAGTTCTTGGCAAGCTAAGGCACATGATCCTGAACCTCCGCAGGCATCAACTACATATAGAGTTTTGTCCTGTACAAAAAGGTTTAGCAATTTTACATACAATTTAACTGGCTTTTGCCTTTGGTGGGTGATTCCAGTGTCTTACTCATCTGCAGACTGCGTGAATAGGTCATCTCCTTTGATTGGTTGACATGTTTTTGTCACAATGAGAGGGTGTGTTGACTTTGTCAAGGAACAGCTCTCTGCAAGAAACAACACAAATTATGAATGCTCACAGTATGAGGTTGTATGGCATTCAAGGTCTGATGGCATGGAGCACCTTACTGATATGCTAGCATTTTGGGTTATACTGGAGAAAGCATGTGATGCATAAAACTTCATAACTTTCTCTTTATACAACCATTCTTCTTTCTTTGTGATTTCATAAGTATGAAAATTAAAAAAATCACTGCACAAGGGAATGATGCACATATATAACAGTTTTAATATTACACATACCTTGTAGTACTACAGGATTGCAATGATAATACGCAATGTCCCATTCAATGCCCATGGACTCTAGGACTGTCACAAGAACTGACATGTTAGGAGTCTCTCCCGGGAAGATGACAAATCTTGTCTGTTCGACGTTATGCCTGAAGTTGATGGTTCTCATCATCCTTAGAAACTGCTCTAAATCTTTTGATGCCATGACTAGAATGTATAAAAATAAAATAAAAATACATGACTAAAATAACAACATGTATGGTCTGTTGGGGTAGAAGTTGAGGTCAGGCTGAGTGTACCACAGCAAACATCATGCAACAATATGAAATACTGTAACACTGACCATGTTTCCAGATTGTGTGCATGTTACATGTACATAACGGACCTTTACTGTACTATATTCAATCAGGCATGAACTCTCAAACTAAAAAGCACGCAAATACCAATATATCAAGTACAATCACGATTTCATTGGGAAGGCAATTTTCATATCCACAAAATGCTGTTCATCTTAAACAACAAACGATGTGGATGCCAAATATAGTGCAAAAATTTGGAGATTTCGTTGAGATTTCGAGCTATCCGGCTTGCTCGGTAAATACCCGTGACTCAGGTTCACAAACTCCACAGGTGCTTAGGCATATGGAAATTTTCGATTCCCGTGAAAATGCGGAATTATCTGGGAAAATATCGACGAGAAGCGACACTAAAGGTTGCAAGAAAAATATTACGTACCTCTTTCTCATTTTAGAAATCAAGGTTGAGCCAAGAGACTTTGGTCAAAATCACGCGCGCCAATGTTGTGTTCAAGCGGGTTCAAGTCATCGGGTCTTCTTCCCAAGACTTGAATGCACTTATCACTCCCCCATATTCAGTCCCAGCCAGTTGAAAATTCGTCTTGTAATACAACACGAATCCAATTTACATAATATGTAAATTTAGACGCTAAAGCAAGAGAGTTTCCATGCCATTCACAAATAAATACAGCAGTTGAAAAAATACAACCGCTCGTTGCTCGTTGGAGCCATGGAATCTTTCGCGGCACCATTTTAACAAAATCCACTGTTAAAAAGTCCATTTTTAACAGCAGAAGTAATGTTCGTGAGCTAATAAGGAGCTTTCCATACTTTAAACTTTTCGATCACTGCCGAAAGAAATTCAGATCTCAATAAAACTTTCGCTTTGTGAATTTCGTTAAAAATTCGAATTCGAACAAACATGCTGCTATGTGCCAGCGATTTTTTGCACAGCGACAGCAAATTTCCCAGCTGTTAGAAATAGCATGAAGCATCACAATAATATTGACCGCTGCTATAGATTTTTAACAAGACTGAGGACTCGTATTTACAAAAGTTGACAATATTTTGATCGGAAATATTGAATATAAATAAAAAGAAAATGTTCAAAATACATCCAAATAAGTCAACGAAAAAGGTGTCCTTGATATAAAAAGGTCCCTTTGAATCAACCTACAAGTTGCAGATGAAAATGGCGATGGCTAGTCTTTGCTAGGATCGCAATTCGGCATCGACATGTCTTCCGAAGCAAAAATATATTCTGTTGGAGCCCAAATGGCAAAATAAAAGCGTATTAACGGCTGAAAACCTTGGTATGTGTTGATTTTAATGTTTTGTTGCTCCTCCAAGTTTATGGGGCAATATTTAATTACGTTTTGAGAAGTTAACGATACTTTTGAGGATGATTAACTTTAACTACGTTTTAACTATGAATAACGCTAACCACGTTTTATACAACCGGCCTAACTACGTGATTAAAGTTAACGACATTTTAACGTGTTAACGACATTGGCCACATTTGGGTATCTTGGGCCCTTGGCCCTTGGATTATTTTATTATTGTATTAACAATTGTGAATAGTTTGTCAGATAAGGTTAAGCAAGTGAAAATATTGTTATTTTGACATCAACATCACGCAAGTGTATAACAAACAAACTCTAATTGAATTTTTAAATATATCATTTTATAGGATTTGGAGATCCCAGAAGGTGCCCCTGATCTTGTCCATCTTCACCAGATAATGTGGACTTAGACAGATTGAAGAAGGATATCCCGAAATTTCTAAACAACTCCAGAGTCATTTCTACTGAACAAAAGGAGTGGTGGGACACCTTCTTTGCAGATGCTTTGGAAACATACCAAGTCTCCCGGAGAAGCGTTCCTTGTGCTGCTAGACGAAGTAAAGATCTTAAAGGCTTGTTCTTCAAACACAATGGCAACACCACATGCTTTGTCATCCTTGACCGTGCTTGTAGCACCCATGTCAGATGCCACAGAAAAGGCAGCTGAGCTTGTCAATGCTCAGTTTAATGAGATTCCAGAGGTATAGTATTAAGGCTATGTACAGTTAAAACACACCAACCTCAGTGAGGGTAGCTGGCCAATGTGCATGCAATCAGAGTTGATGACAATGGAGAGTAGTGTCCAATACACTACAGCAGATCAACTAGGTACTGTAAAGTCTCATATTTACTAATTTCTCAAATTCTTTTTAAGGTTTACACTGGCCCTTATGTGAGACCAAAAACAGTCTCAGAAGTTGATAACCTGTGGCAGTTTGTGACAGTTGGGGTATTTGTGGCAGTAAACCTTGAAAATTATGAAAAGGTACCCGTCATTGGCAAAGTTGTTGAAAAAGATGAAGATAATGTCAAGGTGCACTACTGGAAAGGTTCTTGGAACAAGAAATGGACTCCTTGGTTGTACAATAATTTGCCTTGGATTGATGAGCTGCCAAAGGACTGTATATATTTAGCATCATTTGAACTTGATGAAAACGATAAACTGCAGAAGGATACTAAGCGAAGTATTAGAGAATTTTTCAACAAAGACAAAACTAATTAAAAATTTTAAAGTGATAATGCAAAGACTCAGGTGTGTATATTAAATGTATATATGTGAGTCACCAACCGGGCAAGCTGAAAAATTAGCTTGACCACGGTGGGAACGAACCCGCGACCTTGGTTTGCTAGTCCAATGCTCTTCCAACTGAGCTACAAGGTCAAGACGGTTCGAGTGGTTGATATTTCGGAACTATTGGTGACTCAGAGTAGCAACATCACATATATACATTTAAAAATTTTAAGCTGTAATTAATGGCTTGCAATATTTATATATACAAAATTAATTTAATCTTAACATACCAATGTTTTGGTAACTGTACCAGTAACCATAGTCATTCCTTAGAGCACTTGAAACCAGCCAATGCTTTAATATCTCAAGTCCTTGTCTGGTTTCGAGATCTCGAAGCCTTTGCCTGGTTTCGAGATCTCGAAGCCTTTGCCTGGTTTCGAGATCTCGAAGCCTTGCCTGATTTTGAGATCTTGACTTTTGCAAAATGATCAGTTTTTGGCTATTTATATTCTTCTTCTATATACATAGATAATAATTTTAATAAAAAAGATGAATATAGCAATAAACAATATTTTTGTTGCTAATATTTGAATATTTACTTGATATCAGCCAAACCTCTTTCTTTTCTTGCAGATTTTTTGCAAAAATGGCTTTTTTAGCATGTTAAATGCTGTTGCAAACCGTTTCTTGAGAAATACTCATTTATTTGGCAAAAAATGAGCCAATTTTAAGTAAACAGAATATCACACTTTACTCTAGAACGTGTTATGTGTATTACATGTGTATTACTGCGTAATTTCGCCGCGTTATGTAAATTTGAAGTCGTAGAATTCCAGAACATCGCGGAATGTGTGGATCTCACGCAGATCGTCGGACTTTGTCAAATCTTTACGAAAGTATGCATGCATGGCCTTCACACGGGATAATATCCAGCCAAGAAACGCAAACCCACGTAACGGAATTACGTCACAAGCATGCCTGCTTGTTTCGATGCTATATGTTTATTTTAGTTGCACCCAACTGGCGATTTCAATATACTGTCCATGGGCGGTGGTTGTACGAAGCCCGGATAGCGCTATATCCACCGGGGATAATGATTTTTCAAATAAATTATTGTAAAAAAGCAATAACACTACATATTTAACACCGCGGTAATTAATGAGGGGAATCCCTTTTTAAAAATAATTCAATCCAGTCTATTCCGAACAACGGAATGTTCCAGAACGATAGCGCTATTCAGCTTTCGTAGAACCGGGCTCAGGTCAGATATCTGAACCAGAATTTCACAGCAGTATGATAATTCATTGACATAAGGACCATGCAGCACGAGGGCTCGTATTTGTTTTAACTACCAGTTATGGCTGCTTTGAACGTTGAAAATACGTGCATGTATAGGCCTTGAATGTTTTGCACGCCGACGATCAACTTCAATATATTTCCCAACATTTTGTTTAATGCAAACAGGGAATGTTTCGATCATCAAAGTAATATGATGGCGTGATACGGTTAATAAAAGTTTTGCATACACTGAAGTGTACATTTTTGGTACCTGAAAAAGACAAACTTTATCGTTTATACCAGATATACGAGACCTTGTGATTATGCTTAGATTTCAGAAGACTGAACTTTAGTGAAAATTCTGGCAAAGCTGTGAAAATTCAGTCTTTGAGCAGGGTAGTCGCCATTTCTAGGGCCTTCGCTATATAGGAACTTTATTAGGGAAGGGGTGCATATTCATACAATCGTCTTATTCTCAACTGATTTATACTGTATATTATTATTTTTATTTATTTATTTATTTATTTTTACTGGTTAAACGAACATAATTATTAAAACTGGTGCTAAATTGTACTTTGCATTTAATACAGTAAGTTCATTTCGTTAGTGTTCGTCATCTAAATTCAATTTGAAGAAAGTGCAGTACTATACTTAAAATCCTTGCGTTAACATTTGCGTTTAAGAAATATTGAAAAATGAACCTGGTGACTTCGATCGAAAATTGCGTGAATGGTTGCCAACAAAAAAGGACTGGAATGTTTGTTGGCGTGCTTCGAGAGATGGATGGGCAGCGGGAACATTTCATTTTCGATGCGATGGAAAATCACCGACGTTGACGATTGTTAAAGTTGTCAAAGATAATAAGGCATTTATATTTGGTGGATATGCGACAGTTTCATGGGCTGGTCCCAGTAAGACCTTATGATTATTACATCAACTATTTTACCATTGTTAATATTATTATTATCCTCTATAATTATACTGCGTTTCTTTCAGCAATATTCCATAGGCGTGGGGGTGGCAGGGAAGGGTTATGGGAGGGGGTTGCAGCTCACCCCCTCAAATTAGGCAGAATTGGCTGTAAATAGAGCGATTCAGAGGAGTTTGTCACGTGAGGTATCGATCATTGAGATCGCTCTGTTTTCCATGGCTGTTATAGCTAATAAGCTATAACATATATTCAGCTATATGCATGTTCAATCGGTATGTGGTATTATTATAATAAGTTTATAGCTGAAGAGTACTAGTTATTACAATGGCGTTCCACAAAAATTTTTGGATTGATTTTAAAATTTGTTTCGCGCCTGTGAGTAACAAACTTATATTTTGCTGTATGGGTTTTTTCACTCTTTTTGACATGAAATATGTGAAAACTTGTTGTGTAATAAAGAATAGTGACAGGATTGCTGATCGGATGATAAGGAGGATACAGGAGGTGGGTGGTTTGATTGACTGTTAAGTACTGAGGGTCATTGTTTGGTTTTCCATATGGTGTGAATTTGCCGTTGTTCAAATTAAGGGTGATGTCAACGACAAATTCACAATTTGAACAACGGCAAATTCACACCATACAGAAAACCAAACAATAACCCTCAGTATATTAACAGTCAATCAAACCACCCACCGTCTATCATTAAGCAAATTCCTAAATCAATCAACCAACATGTATCCTCCTTATCATCCGATTAGTGGGAGATTATAACTGTGATTGGACCAAGTTATTGACTAATAATGCAACCTCTCAGACGATAAAGCTGAAAGACATTCCTGATTCTTTTCAATTTGACCAACAGCTTCGAAAACCCACTCGAGTAACTGAATCATCGAGCACGTTGATTGACCTTGCATTTACTAACAAACCAGAAATTGTTAAGATGTCACGTGTCGAACATCTGGGAATAAGCGACCATAGTCTCATTTATATTTGTCGGAAATTGTCTATTCAAATAAAAGAGCCGTCAAAAATAATTAGCACAAGACATTACAAACACTACGATAAAAATATCTTTCTTTCTGATTTGATAGACATATTGCAATTTTTCGCTAACGATTCTAATCCTATATGGAATGATTTAAAGCTAGATTTCTGTTGACTGCCGATATTCATGCCCCTCAAATTAAACGAAAAATACGAAGCGAGTATGTTCCATGGATTACTGAGGATATTAAAAACGGCGCTTTGCACCAGCTCGGGGTTATATCCTAAAACAATTTCATTCCGACAATTTCATTCTGATTCTTTAGTCAACCAGTGTCACGATGCAAGGCGGGAATGGCGATCAAAGTAGAAAAATATGACTAAAAAAATTTGAAACTTAGGCTAATTTCGGTATTCAGTGACCAGCCCTAAAAGCAACCATTCGGATTCGGAAGTTGGCATAAATTATATGCCATGTTGGACACCATCGCCATTTTTCCATGAAACAATTAATCCTGTCCTAAATGAAATGCATAAAAAGTTTCAAACTCCTCTACACGCCTTAGACTAACTAGCTGTCTATTGAGGAATAGATAACAAGTAGAGCAGCCAATTAAATTACAGCCGATTTGCGGTGGTGCACTGACTCATTCTGATAAATTATTTCTGATGGGCGCATGTACATACAGTGGCGTCGCCGGCATCGATAAGTGGGGTGGACATATTCATATATTCATGTTCACAGACCGTTAAAACAATCAATTTGAAAAGAAATGAAAAATGCAAAACACGAATATATGAATAAGTCCCCCCCACTTATCAAGCTGGCGACGCCACTGTGTACATAGCATTTGACTTTATTTTACTAAAACTATTACAGTTGTATATGCATCTTTCGCATAATCGTATTTAATTAGAGTTTACTGCGTATTTTACAGATAGATATACATCTGCTCCAGGCTCCTTTTTGTTTTCTCTTCGTAATAATGACGATCTTCCTCCATTCAAGTCTTTGTTAAAGAATCAGAATCATGTGGAAGCAATTTACATACATGGCCAAAACGGGCCAACATTTGGTAACGGCCATGATCTCTATATTTCAAGCAGCGCAAAAAAGAAAGCATATTGCTACGCCGATCTGGGCCACATTTACCATCTTCCGCCTGGTTACACATACGGCCAAGCCAACACGAGCTCCCTCCTTGCAGGAAGCTATCATTTCATCGTATCTGAGGTGGAAGTCCTGTATTGAATCAGATTTTATTAATTTTTTCGCTTCGGAGTTAAATTGTGATGTAAGTATATGTATATATCTTCCGTTGCCTGAATTGTTTGGTATTTGATTGGTATATCTGGCAGTCAATAATTAGCATGAAACGGCAAAATATGCTGAACACCCGTGCGGCATTATAATTATTGCTCGACAAACAGATACCGAGAAAACGACAATTTAAAAATAGAAAATGTCGGCTTTTCTCGGCTGAGCGCAAAAACAAACTAGCGTTAAGCAGTAGTTTTCGCTGTTGTGTTTCCTGCAGGCTACAGAAGCGGCGGAACATATTTTATTTGAAGGAAGGATGCTAAAAAAGGTCATTTTGTCTGGTCGGCCATGAAATTATTATAAATGTGCATGCTAACCATGCCAACCAGGGGCCAGGGGCCGGTTGTTCGAAAGGCGTTTAGCTTGTATAAAGCCCGATTAGCTTAAACGGTAGATAAGTTCAAAATAGAAAGCAAGGCTGCCGTTTTATTCAACAAGTGAACAAAATATTTTTGACCTTAATACAAAGCTACTGTTATTCAAGTTCACTCATTCAAGAGAGTTGTAAGAGTGTTATTTAATTTTGACGTATCCACCGTTTAAGCTAAACGGGCTTGATACAACCGGCCCCAGAATTATAAATACGTGTATACAGTCCATCTATAGTCTATAAACTTCCGGTTTGACGATGAGAGAACATTTAATCACTGGAGTAATAAAAATATTCCGTATTTATAACGTTAATGAAAGCTGTAAGATCAAACATGATGCAGACAGACTACATCAATGAATACCGATGCAAAAATCATGGTCAAAACCAAAACCAATTACTGTTTCAGGCCCGCGGGTGAGAAAAAAAGAAACGAGAAAATATCCTACTAATACTTAGGAAGTGAAAACTTTCACGATTGTTATCGAAGTTCACACTTGTTATCGAAGTCCTAAATTGGGATTACGTTGGCCTTTTAAACGGAGTTCTTCCCCCATCTTTTAGTTAGCTTTTAAAACAAGGGACATTATACTGCATTATATAGATAATTCATTTTATTATTTTCTATTTTATTAGGGGACGGAAGATTTAAGTCGACCATAGCGATAGACGACCATAAGCGAAATTTATTACAGCAAAATAGATCATAGGCGATTATATTTGACATTAGAGAGAGGGTATTGACAGTAAAATTTAGGGAGGCACTAATGGGGGCAAGTTTATTAATTCCTGTGTTCACGCCACATGCTATATGTAGTTTGACTCCGTTTGAAACAAATATTATAATAAATATTATTTTATTTGATTCATGCAATTTTTGTTAATATGCGTTCGGAAAACAATGTTTTGATCAACATTGCATTATTGTTTCTGGGATTTAAAAAAGAATTGAGCGATTTTCAAAATACTCTGTTGGTTAAATCTGTAAGCATTTGAATTAATTTGTAGCCCTCAATGTCGCGTCCTCTCTTTTAATGATGTTTTTCTGGGCAAAACTCTCTCTATAGCGTTTTCGAAAACTTCATATGTGTAGATCATGTATCGTGTAAAATTGTTGTGAATTTTTAAAATATTGTAGCTTAGACTATATATCACCTACATGAGATCGTATTATAGGCAGCTTGCTACTTCGATTGTATATATAATGTACCCGCACGTATGTCAAAACCACTTCAAATCTCAAAGTGAGCAAACTCTGGCGGAAACAGCTTTATTAATATGTTAGAGAGCTTTGAGCAGGCGACTTTCTTCTTGTTTCACCAAGAAGAAAAACATCGCCAGTCATTTTGTTTAACAACGGTCAATCTGAAGTAAGCTGTTCGTGTTTCATAATTATATGGAAGAACAATGGGCGAAGTGTTTTTAATGTCATGAAATCAGACGTCACATGCAACCACTACAAAAACGTTATGAGCGCACTCTGATGTTTCTGTAATGTCTGGTAATGTCACCGGGATGTATGTAGATAAAATCCATGTTAGACGCAACATGAGCATACGTGTTGATATTTTACGTAGGGCACGTTAGTTTCAAATCTATTTATAACCTTTTAAGAATTTAATCAGTGTAAGTTTCATGCATTTAAAATGCATGAAATTCATAGTTGTATAAAATTAAAGTTAATGCCTAATGGGATTGTTTTGCTTTGCAATCAATTGAAATGCTTTGTGGAATTGGTCACATACACCCTGAGCATTGAAATACATGCACCCTGAGTCTTGCGGCATATGCGAGACTTCAATTTCTATCGAGATTTAATCTGGAGAGAATCGATAGGTTCCAGGAAAACAATGTTTAGTGTTTACAACGTTTTTGAACGTCTTATCATTTTGTTGGAAAGCATGGAAAACCTTAATAATTTTTTCTGATGCAAAGTATTTAACATGCAGCAATATCGTTTGAATAAATCATTATGTGTTAAGATGCAATGTGCTATCTATTTATAATAAATATCTTTGAAAATTTCCTGAAATGCTAGATAAATAGGCTTTCAGTGCCGGAACAGGATTGTATAGTCAGTTTGGGAAATACAACGGGAACCGCAACGTCCTTATCAACAATGGCATTGATCCTTTAAGGCAAAAGAAAATGTAAAATACGTGGCCTTTAGCTTGCACACTGCCGTAGTTGCTGAAACGGCATCGTGACTTACACCAATTTCACGGTGCATGACAACGCGGCAACAGTTAATGTGTTCGATGTTTGAAGTCTTAGAAGCAATTTTGCAGATCGACCATATTTATAATAGTTAATAAA